ACACACACACACACACACACACACATGCTCTCTCTCACACACACACACACATGCTCTCTCTCACACACACACACACACACACACTCTCTTCTCACACACACACACACGCTCTCTCACACACACACAACACGCTCTCTCACACACAACACACACACACACACACAAACCACACACACACACACACACACACTCTCTCTCTCTCTCTCTCTCTCTCTCTCACTCACACCACACACACACACACACGCTCTCTCACACACACACACACACACCTCTCTCACACATACACAACACACGCTCTCTCTCTCACACACACACACACAACACACACACACACACGCACACACACAATCACACACAACACACACACACAACACACACACACACACACACAACACCACACACACACACACACACACACACACACACACAACACACCACACACACACACACACACATTCACACACCATATGTATATATACATACATATATGCTTTTCTATTGTCTTGTAGGAACCCAAGCCAGTGTCAAAAGGACCCAGTGTGGTGAAGATCAAAGAGAAAAAATCTCCAAAGAAGCAGACTGTTTTTGACCCAGCAGCCTTAGGTATTTATTGGTCTTTTCCAACCAGCAATAGAAATACCAATGATTTAATTCTGTGCGGATAGTTCTATGAGATTACTTTCTTTTGTCCTGTAGTACATTAATATGTGTAACTTGCTACTTACTTAGTTTTGGAAGATACCTATACATATTAAAGAGCATATGTAATTGAAGTTACTTTAAGCAAGAAGTAGGCAATACATCCAGTATGTGGATAGCCAGTATTGTGATATTCAAAATTCTCTCTCATTTTCTCTCCTATATTCTAGAAATTCAACTGATTGAGATTACTGAAAGTTGTATTGAAAGTATTTATAAAATTGCATTAATAGTACTGCTATCATTTTGTAAACCAATTGTGTTACAGGTACTATCTGTAGTTTTGGGAGCATTTTATTGAAATTCCTCTGAAAGCATTGACAGAGAGTATATATTTTTTTTACGTAAAGTGTATTTCTAACTTTACTCTGTGTGTGTGTGGTGGGTGGGTGGGTGTTACAATATATAATATATATTTTCTTCCCCCATCATTGAAGAGAAAAAAGGAATAAGAAAATCAACCCAGTTAAAATCAGCTGAGACAGTGAAACGGCAGAGAGAGAGAGCAGAAGTGGAGAGAAAGCGTGCAATGAGCAAAAGGGACAGAGCGCCAAGCCTCCCAAGGCTGACACAAGAAGAGTTGCTAGAGGAGGCGAAAATAACGGAGGAAATCAATCTCAAGTCATTAGGTTAGTTTTTAGAATATTGTAAGATGACATGTTTTCATATGTTTTATGAGGTTGCATATGACACGTATTGTGTGAAAAGAAATCCCTAAGCCAAATATTTTTTTTATCCAGAGAAATATGAATTAGCGGAACTGGATCGAAAGAAACCCAAGGTTGTTCGTCGAGGATTTACAAGTTCATTCATCCGATATCAGTCTACTGCAATGCCATTGATCCAAGAAATAAAGTCTTCAGAAGATGTAGAAATGGAGGAACCAAATGTAGAAGTTGATATTACACAGGTAAGATATATATATCAGATTTTTTTTCTTTCTTTTCTTTTCTTTTCTTTTCTTTTTTATTATCCTTTTTTGTGCTTCCGTTTTAGAAATGTGTATCAAAAGTTTTTATTCAGTGACCATTCCTCTGAATTTCCTTTAATTTTGAGAAATACAAAATTCATTTTGTTTTATAAATGAAACATTGTTTAAAGTTATGTTTGTAAAAATATGCATATTCGCTTTCTCTTGGTTTGCAGATCCTCTTCCTAAGGTAATAAAGGATTTTTTTCTTATTCAGGACCAAATAGGTACCAGTATGGCACCTACTTCAGTACTAGGGGATGACAAGGAAAACACACTGACGAAACAAAATGCAACTGAAGTATGTGAAAGAACATTTATAACCTTCTCAGATGAGGGAAGCTACAAGAGAGCTTTCAGAAAGTCCAAACCGAAATCTGTACAGAAGAATATTTGTCCCATCACTCGGTAAGTAGTTTGACAAACACTTGGGGAAGTAACACATTCTTTGCAGCTGTTTGTGTTTTAAGATTTCATTTGGTTTAATATCCAACATGTGAATGTAAGCATTTGATATGTTACAAATACACACGCACACACCCATACACACACACACACACCCATAAACACACACTCATGTATACTCACACATGCACACAAATATTTGCTTACACAAATACACATACATACATATACATACACATAATACTGTATACATAAACATATACAAATGTACATAAAATATATACACATAAATAAAGGACATATTTAATTCAGCATAGATTAAGCATAGCAAACTGATATTTGGCTTTCTTTGCAGTTTTGCAGCAAGATACTTTGATCCTGTGACTCAGCTGCCTTATGCAACCCTCCAAGCATTCCGTGTTCTTCGGGAAGCATATTATCAACAGCTAGAAGATAAAGGAGACCGGAATAATAAGGAGGTGAGTCTAGAATTTGACATTTGATGTCTATCATCAGATGGTTGTACAGTTTTCAACAGGAATGGAGGCAAAATTATGGTAATAGGGTTAATGAATATTCAAGGTCAAATTAAACTGAAATTTTTTTATTATCAATATTATTATTATTATTATATTTTTTCATTTTTTTATTTTTTTATATACATTTCTGATGTTGGTGTAAGTTTTTGTAAGTCTTATTTTTTAATGCCTGTCTTTCACTTCAGGTTGCAAAGTGGTTGGCTTGGCGACGTGAGTACAAAAAGGTCCGTGCTTCAGCTCAAAGTATCAAGCCTACTGTTACGACCCTCCAACAATCATCTGCTGCTGTCAGTTCTTCCATTCGCACACCAACACCAAATACACCAGTTCAGGGTACAACAATTCCACAGACTGTATCTTATAGCTCTACAGGTAATGGGATATCAACACCTACTTCAGCAGTAACATCAGTTGCTGCAGTAGCTCAGATATTAAGATCAGCTGTGCCAGCTTCAACTGCACTTATGGTAACTACAGCTACACCAAGTACACTACCTACAACCACTACATCCCTTGGTACAATTGCTGCTTCTTCATTGCACCTTGGTGCCAGACCAATTGCATCTACAATATCAGCTTCACAACCAGGTAAGTTCTAACTTACATATGTTACATATGTTACAAATGCAGAAATTACATCAATAAATACATAAACCTGAGACCCCTCTTAATGTGTGGAAGAACTTTAGATATGATAGTAAAGAAAATTTTTGCATAGTAAATTTCAGTCATAATTCACAAATTTTATTTGATTTTTTCCCTTGCAGGTGGGCTTGCTAGCCTTCAAGGGCAAACTGTTCAATTGGTTCAAACTGTGGGTAGAGGAGTGAGCAGCACTGGCCGTCCCAGCCACCAGATGGTAGTTGTAACTAGTGCTAGCGCCACTGGAGGAATGCAGTTGGTGGGCAGTGGAACAGGTGCCAATCTTCTGGTCCAAGGTGGCACAGGAGGAACCACCAATCTTTTGGTTCAAGGTGGTACTTCAGCCAGTGTAGGAAACCTCCAGATTGTGCAGGCTAGTGGAGGCAGTGGAGTTCAGGTTAGTTAGACAAACCACAGTCCTTATGCACTTCTTTATTCTTCCTTTATAACTTCACATACTGGTGTAAATTTCCTATTGCTAGTTTATTTGTTAGTTTTTCTCTGGATATTTAAATTAGAAATCAAGGATTTCTTTCCTTTGCTGATGAATCCTACTTCTCAACACTCTTGACCTGTCCAATACACAGCCCTGTTAAAACTAAAATCAGCTAGATGTGAGAGGACAAATCATCCTGGCTCAAGTTTATATCATATTTAGAACTGTAATTTTCATACTATAATATTGCTTTTAGTATTGGAAAGAATATAGAAATATTAGTAGTCATTGAAAGCTATCCCCATGAACATGTGATATTACTTTTTGAAATATGCAAGACCCGCTTTTCCACTTTTTAAAACAAATATTTACATTGGTAGAAAAAATATTAATGTTTCATGTTTTTTTCTGAAGGTTGTGCAGGCTAGTGGAGGAGGGAATGTTCAAGTTGTGCAAGCCAGTGGTGGAGGCAACGTCCAGGTTGTGCAAGGAGGACGCTTCACAATTCGACCTGTTGCAAGTCAGGCCTTCACTAATCTACAATCTCTTCTTAAGTAAATGCATTGCAGAAACAAATTGTTTTTTGTTATTTTCCACCAATGTTCAGATTATTATGCAGCAAATACTTGTATTGTTCTTTCACATATAAATTATAGCACTTTGTTGGTTACCCAGAAAAGGTTTCTTCAATATTTCTGAGCACATTTGTTATCTTTCTTTTTCCCTTTATTTGTTAAACCCTAATGAGACAGGGGACATAAACATTTCCCCATAATGTTAAGAACTAATCAGCTATGCTGAGGGTCTAGAAAGCCTCTCATTCTCAAGTTTGTAACTGGAATGACCATAATATCATATATTTATAATCATGTAAAATCTCAGGAAACTTTCATTAAATGGCAATAATTTTGTCTCTGTATGTTGCCTAAATTATGTCTGGTAAGAGAATTTTATTGGATTAGAGATATATGCTCTCTTTGAATCGATTGATTGACAAAAACTAATTTTGAAGTAAATGTGTATCTTCGTCAAGGTGGGTTTTAATAGACAAATTATGTAAGTGTATGCTTTCTTACTTTTCATATTGTAAAGGAAGTATGAAATGTGTGCTCTTAAACATTCCTATACTTATTAGTAACCCACAGTATTGAATGACTTGTTAAAAATATCCCAAAGTTTGTTTACAGTAATTGAACTCTTTAAGATCTAGGAATATATTTACTTGTGTCTTTTTGTTGTCTTAAGGTTATTAAAGCCAAAATTGAGAGGTTATTGCAATTATCACTTCTTATTCGTAATATTAAAAAACATTGTGGTCATAGTATATTAGTAAAAAAAAAAAAGTCAACTAATGTGCTATATCACAATAGCTGTATTATTATTAAAGAATAGGAACACATTGGTACATTCTAATGAGAGGATCTTCCATGAATTTAGAGTTTTAATAGCAATATAATGTTTTGTATATAAATAAAAAAGGAAAAAGAAACCTATCATGCCTTTCAATTCACCTGAAAATATTGTGGCAGAGGGAACTGTATTTGCTTTTGCTCACTTATTATTCTATTTAGTCTTTAGTAATGTATGTTTAAACAATAAGAAAAAGTTTTACAATTAAAATCACATTTGAATATAATCTGTCTATACTATAATTTTGCTTGTGTTTCCTCAGTTCACACATTACCTTATTTTATATATATAATATATATATATATATATATATATATATATATTATATATATATATATATATATATATATATATATATATATATATAATATATATATTATATATATATATATATATATATATATGTAATCAGAATCCTATTTCAACTCAGTTACTGTCATTTTTGTTATTAGTATTAATATTATTGTCATCATCTTTTGAGGCAAGTACACTGAAGTAGTTGCACCATAGGAAATTATCTGAAGAGGGAGTAAGGAAAAAAGAAATAGAAGAAAGGAGTAAGGGAGAGAAATGGCCTTCAAGACAGAAAGGTGGAATGGAGGGAAAGGGGCTTTAGAGAAAAGGGAGAGAGGGAAAGGTAAATGGAGTGAACTATAAGAAGAAAACCCTCCCAATACCTTGCTCCTTGTTATCATGGGAGGGCTTAGGTGACAGAGACTGAGGCCAAATGTAGGGGATCACCCCTACCTTGGGCGTCAGCCTTTGCATCAACTAATTTTGCTTGGTCTTTTCTTCTCTCCTTTCCTCTTTTGTATCTTCTTCATCTCCGTCTTCTGTCCCATTCCCAAGGTATAGGAGCCATGGGCCCTGTATTCCCTTGGTTAATTGCCTAACCCTTACCCTTTATGGGGACCCTGAGGGGTAGACCATTTCTTTTCCCCATTTCATTCAGGCTCACTATGGCCAATAATGAAGATTCTTTACCTATAATAGGGGAATTAAGGGTTGCCCCTTCACCAAGTAGCCTATCTAAAATTGATTTTGATGGCTTTCCAACCTCTGCCCCTCCTTTGATCACAGCTCTGACCACTGAGACTAATACCCCCTCTTTGACGCTTACAAATAACTCTAACTATTCCAAAACACTCACCCAGAAAGCACCCCTTCCTCTCTCCCAATATTCTCCATCTACTGCACAGTCCTCTTCAGTGTCTACCGCTCTCTTCCCTTATTACTATTCATCCGTATTGTCCTCCCGACATACCCACTCCATTCTACCCTACCCCATCTTCCTCTCGCCCTCATCTTTGTACTGCCTCTACCCCTGCAAGCCTTCTGAGTACTGTTTTTGGCCCAGCCAAGTGGGATCGATTCTTTGTGGTTCCCCCCACAGCCCCCCTATTCTGAGAATACCATTCTCTTTCAACAGTGCCTCCAGAAACAAGTAGGCAAGGTTACCTTTCACAGTCGCTCTGATCGTTTTGATTATCACACTTTTGAATCCCAAGCCTGTGTACTATCTACCCTAACTGATCTTACTAGCAAACCCATTCCTGCCAAACCTCACCCCTCTTAATACTTGTACTGGAACTCTTTCTATCCTCCCAAATGCTTGTCCTATCTACAACAAGGACTAGTCAGACTGTGAAAATGACCTACTTACCTGCTTTGCTGATTGTGATGCATGTACAGTGTTACACTACTCCCAGAGTCCAGTGTAAGCTCCACATCAATATTGCTAAGATTAGCTTCTGTAGACATGACCTCCCCCATGAGGTTTATATTGGTGGATTGTCCTACCATGTCTGACCATAACGATCCCTTCCTTGTCAATGTCAGAAATGTTGGCGTTTTGGTCAACCAGCTTAACACTGTTGCTCTACAGCCTGCTGCCCTCTATGTGTCAAACCTGGTCATGACCGTTCAAATTGCCCTGCTCAGTCACGTACATGTGCCAATTGTGGAGGCTCCCATAATGTATTTTATAGGAGCTACCCTGCCTAGAAGTTCCAATGTGAGGTAGGCACTCCTCAAATTGAAACTAGGCCAGAGAAGAAGTGCAAAGACAAGGTTTTTCTCCCTTAACTTATTCCAAAATAGTCCCTTGCTCTGATCCCCCACCATCTTCACAAGATATTTCTGCATCACCCCTAGTATCTCTCCCTTATACCCTAAACCATCCTACGTTTACTCACCTTATCCCCCAGTCAAATTCTTTTTCCATTCTAAATCCAGATACTACAATCTTTACCACTTCCCTGATACCTACCCCACCTAATTTTATTTGTCGCATCAGGTAACTTAAACATTCCATTCCACCCTCTCCTACTACATCCTTTCCTACTGCCTCTTATGCTCCTCAGATATCTACCTTTGTTTCTCAGTCCTATTCACCTAACTCCCCTCCAGAAACCCTTGAAGACCTCCAAAACTTCCTAAAGATGACCCAAGGGAACATTCCACTCCCTCACCCATCCCCCAATCCCTCTGTTCCTTCTCCTACATTTAGAGTATTTGCAGATATCCATCCTCCTCCTCAAGTTCCCTCTACCCCCTTCCTCCTAAACCCTCCCAACATACCTCACTCTCTCTACCGCTCCCACTTAAATACTCACACGATTCCCCTCTATCATTACAGTGTCCTCCAGACCCCTTCCCTGTAGACAATCTTCCTGATACTTCACCACTTTCCCATCTCCATTTCTGATTCCCTGGATTATTCTCCTCTTACTTCTCCAACAGCCACCTCTGTTTTTCTTGAATAATGTCCATATTCCTTCCCCAGTCAAAGATACTCTGCAATTCACTCAATCACTCTACTTTCTTAATCTTTCCCATTTTACTAATCCCCGCTCTACTTCATTTACTTGCCTTTTCCCTTTTCATTACCATACTTTCCTAGAACACCCTCAAATCTTTGACATCTAACACCTTCCCCTCTCTCTGGATTCTTCTACTTTTCCAACAGCCATCTCTATTTTCCTTGAACATTGTTTCTATACATTTCCCAGTGACAGATACACTATAATTCAATCAATCGCCCTGCCTTTTTAACCCTCTCCTTTCTACTAATTTCTGCTATAGTTCACTTACTCCCCCTTTTTCCCATTTTACTACCATACCATCCTATAATGCTCTCTAATCTTTGACATCTAACACAATTTATCGCAATCTTTATTTCTTCCCTACCCTTTCCGACAAAGCTTTACCATAGTGCTATATGACCTTTGATGTCTGGCACATTTATTTGTTTCAAACATTAACCATTAACCATCCACCACATTACAATTTTTAACAACCTTCTAAAACTGGAGTCCCACAGGGAAAATGGTGTGTATAGTAGTTCCTATGTGTGAATAAGTATGCTACTTCTACATGCTTGTTGAATAGTGCAGAATGTTAGAAAAAAATTGATATTACATAAGGAAATACACACTGAATCCAAATTACTTTCTTGGCCATTACATACCAATAATAACATAATAATGCTGACTTCAACTTATGAAAAAAAATTATTCCACATAATAATATATAAATTAAATGACTCTTATCATATTATTCATCCAGCATAGCAGCATAGTTCACATAGATGAACTTAGTGTAAGCAAGAAAGTTGAGTTTTGGGGTAATATTTTGGCAACTTAAAAAACAGTAAAGCACTGAAGCTTTTATATTTATCTGGACAGCTTCAAATTTTTGACTGGTTATGTTCAAAACTTGAAAATACGTCTAGTTTAACTCGCTGGATCCAAGTACCTTGTGGTTTGCATGTGGCTCAAAATCTGAGCAATAGTCTTACTTGAGTGGTGACTCTCGCGGTGTGTGCCATGTAGGCTCATTCAGTCTTTTTCTGCAAAAGTAACTATTGCTGTTTTCCCAGTTACCATGTTATATATTTGTCATTTGTTAAGCTGTAACAAATTGGTAATAAACTGTTTTCCTTGATCAGGCTCTATATTGGTAGTCAACCTTGTGCAGTAATAATGGCAATAAGTTCTAAGTGTTATTTGTGTAATTTTGTTTTGTTTTTGTATTATTTATTTTTTTGTGACAATCCTGTCCCTCCAGCCACAGTAGGCAGGTATAATATACTGAGCATGGAAATGGTGTCTTACCTGGAGCCAGTGCTCTTCCTGTCAGGGCATATAGATGACACATTCCACCTTCATTTACTGGTGGAAATAATGCAAGTGTCCCTTCCTAAATGCCCACTGAGTCTAATCATACTTCAAGATCTTTGTGCATTCACAATGAGTCATTCCTGTCAACTTGGCCCTCAGCTAAATTCTTCATGACAGCATGTTCCCATTACCTTGGCCCTCAGCCAATTTTTTTCATAACGGCATGTCTTCAGCTCAGTTTTTTCAATTAAAACTTGGATTTTTAATTATGCTAACAATGGTTTTACTTGAAAATTATATTAAAAAATACATGCAAAAGTGCCCACTGTACTTTAGAGGTTAGAGCACTGCACAACAACAACAAAAAAAAAAAAAAAAGAAAGAGAAGAAATGATGAAGGTATCCTGCTTCTACTTCTCAATGTCAGTTGTAAAATAACATGTCAGCTGCACAAAATTGGCCATTCTTTTAATTGCATAACAATATACTTTTTCATTTCATTCCTAAGAAATATAATGTAAACCACACTAAAAGAGAATAAGTTACATATAATGTAAACCACACTAAAAGAGAATAAGTTACATTTTCTGAGTAAACTGTCACTTTAAATTTGGTCCTATATGATGTATGAAAGAAAGAAAACATTAAGATTGATAAATTTGCACTGGCAGTTTCTATTCTCTTTCTATTATTAATTTCGGAAAAAATGTAAGTTACATTCTTAGCCAGAGAAATACTATGTATCTACTTGTTTGCCTTGTAAATATAAAATGCACATTTTATACTGAATTCCCCCCCAATCCCTTGCCCATTGTTGTCGTGGGGGGGGCTTAGGAGACGAAGACTGAGACCCAATACAGGGATCTCCCCTGCCTAGGGCCTCAGCCCTCGACTCAACTAATTTTGCATGGTCTTTTTTTTTCTCCAGCTTTTGTTTCCGTCTCTTCTCCATCCCCTTCTGC